CGTTTCGCGCGTGTGTCGTCCGGTCACCGTTACCGGGTAACAGTGCGCCCACTTCCCACACTCTTGCGGGTGGGCCGGGACCATTATTCTACGATTATATTCATATCACCGTGTTGGGAATTTTATTGGGAGTCCATTGATACCAAAATTAAGGCTGTAGGACAATTGTAGAGGTGATAATAATCCCAAGAGTAAAAACATTTTGTTGCTGTTGAGCGCTCACGGCGACTCATCTTCGTAGTTATTTATTTCATGCTGGTATCTCTATAGCTTTCGTGACTTTTTTTACTGATGTTCTTCTAGAGAATTTTATTGCGAACACGTTGGTACCAAAATGAAATACGTAGCATGAAAACTAAGGTCAGAAAAGTAAAAAGAGTATACACATTTTTGTTTTTACGCTTAAGCGATAAAAACGCCACGCGCACATACGGTTGGCTGAGTGACCTTCGCCGAGAGCGCGAAAGTGTTAAGACCAGAAGCGCACGGGAGTAAACGGCTCCTGTTAATTTCTCTTGGACGAAGTGTTATGGAAACCAAAGATCTTCCATCATCAACACGCTGTCAACAAATACAAGGAAAGTGTTCTGCCGAAACCCATTTATCTAATAATTTTTGGCCATTAATGTCAGTAGATAGGGCGAACCGGTTAGAATGCGAACAGCCTCTTAATAAAAGGTAATTAAGCCTTGGTCCATATCTGATTCATTGTACAGTGTTTTCTCTGATATAGCTGCCATATATTAGGATTCTGGCTTTACAGCTAGTGCCTTTGACAGGTCAAGAAGAGGAAGCAAACTTTGTGAATCAGTTACTGGGTGATGGAAGCTGCCTCACACGAGGAAATTTGGTGTCTACATCCTAGTTATATCTGGTGAACTAAGCCTGCTGTATAATAAGATAAGGAACCTCTTCAACGTATACTAATAATATATGTAGTTTAATACTGTAGTTTGATTGGCTGCATATATATATAAATTCAATATAAACCCCCCCTAATGTGTAGTGGATCGATTTGTGAGATTATTGCAGAAATACAGTCCACTTAACATCATACAAATTGCTATCGAAACATATAAATTAACGTAAATATAAATTCTTTATAAATTCATATAAATTAAATTAAATATAAATCTCACAGGTCGGTTCCCACACCTTGAAGACAGCCACCACACTCTAAGCACAAATGTTTGTTGATGATGCTAATATAATAGGAAGGATAACAAACTTAGATGATTATCATGCCCTTCAAGATGACCTGGACAAAATAAGTATATGGAGCACCACTTGGCAAATGGAATTTAATGTTAATAAATGCCACATTATGGAATGTGGAATAGGAGAACATAGACCCCCATGCAACCTATATATTATGTGAGAAATCTTTAAAGAATTCTGATAAAGAAACAGATCTAGGGGTGGTTCTAGATAGAAAACTATCACCTGAGGACCACATAAAGAATATTGTGCAAGGAGCCTCTGCCACGCTTTCTAACTTCAGAATTGCTTTTAAATACATGGATGGCAATATACTAAAGAAATTGTTCATGACTTTTGTTAGGCCATAGCTAGAATATGCAGAGGTTGTGTGGTGCCCATATCTTAAGAAGCACATCAACAAACTAGAAAAGGTGCAAAGACATGCTACTAAGTGGCTCCAAGAACTGAAGGGCAAGAGCTACGAGGAGAGGTTAGAGGCATTAAATATGCCAAAACTATAAGACAGAAGAAAAAGAGGTGATATGATCACTACATACAAAATAGTAACAGGAATTGATAAAATCGATAGGGAAGATTTCCTGAGACCTGGAACTTTAAGAACAAGAGGTCATAGATTTAAACTAGCTAAACACAGATGCCGAAGAAATATAAGAAAATTCACTTTCGCAAACAGAGTGGTAGACGGTTGGAACAAGTTAGGTGAGAAGGTGGTGGAGGCCAAGACCGTCAGTAGTTTCGAAGCGTTATATGACAAAGAGTGCTGGGAAGACGGGACACCACGAGCGTAGCTCTCATCCCGTAGCTACACTTAGGTAATTACACTTAAGTAATTACAGATGCTTTGTTTTGGGATGCTTACCTTTCTGGGTGCCTGACCTGGTCGATGGCAGAAATAGAATGCTTCCAACCACACGGGGGTTTCTATAGATCATTGCTCCCTATGCCTCTTCTGAGGGGGCCAGGTTCTGGCTCGTGGTCCCCGGTAGGCCCATTGAACTCCATACACATGACTGATGCCAAAGTCTGGCATTAGCATATCAGCCTAGTAAGCTCCAGTTAGCCGAAGGGGCTCCCCCAGAAAAATATCAAATTTTAAAAAATTCAAAAGCTGCAGTTCATTCAAATTGGCATAAAAACTATGGATATTCCACTGAAGAACAGACAGAGGAAAACCAGCTATGCCAATAAAACCCAAAAAAATTAAAGATACGAAGCAAAAGCGCAAAAACTAGGCAAGATCAAGATCAGAAAAATCAGGGGTATTGGGCATAGGGAAAGTCACCAGAGATGGTTGAGCCAAGAGGGCTGTGGTAAGAAGCATACGTAAGTCAGTACTCCAGCCATTTACTGCACTCCGACAGTAAATGTTCCACCATGGTAAACACATCATCCGATTGCTATTCACAAAAAACCAGCGTTGAATGTAATGAAACACCATTTTCTGGGTGAGCCCCCAACACTCCCTGGAGTTTATCGGGCTAATGTATGTTATATTAGACCGGGACATTAGCTAAGGAGTTCAGACCTACCAGGGACCAGTGCCAGAACCTGGGCCCCTTCAGAGAGGTTTCAGGGAGCAATGGCCCTGGAAAACCCCCCTTGTGGTTGGGGTTTTCCTTATCTGCCATCAACCAGGGTTAGGCACCCAGAAAGATAGGCATAACAAAATAAACCCCACATGGTAAAAAAACAAACAGAAAACTGAACAGAGAATTAGATCCCTATATTCCCAAGGAAACAAGCAAACATCACCCTTTACTGCCCCGCCGATCGTCCGCGCAGCCCTCCCCTCCCCGAGAGGAGGGGGTAGCCCCAGACTTCACCGCGCCAGCTGCCTAGCATCAGTTTGGAAGCAAAGCTTCAACCAACGCGAAAAAACCGTCGACCAGTGGGAGGGAGGGTTACCAGGGAGCCTCCGGGGCTCACCCAGAAAATGGCGTTTCATTACATTCAACGCTGGTTTTCTGTGGGGAGCCCCTATGGCTCTTTGGAGCTTCATACCCAAAGAGAAGGAAAAGAAAGGGCTGACCCGGGAGGCGGCCGCCACAAACTCCACAACACGAAGCCGAGACAACAGGCTGCAACCTGTGACCCACGAAATGAGCCCTAGACATCACCAACACGGCAGCGAAAGCTGGAAACGTCCGAACGGCACGGGCACAAGGGTAGATTGCAGACTGGTAGGCTTAAAATCTCTGCGGACAACCTGGGAGACCCGAGCCCTGAAACAGGGAACGACGGGAACCGAATCGACCCAAAGCGAATCACCAGTCACTGTACGCAGGTAAAGGCAGAGTCGCAACCGGACAACACATGACACACCCCCGGCCGAACCAACCAAGCATCAATAACCCAAGGACCCCAAGGACCGAAATCAGCCGTCTCAACTATCGCCAGAAGGACGGAGAAAGGCTGCAAACGTACAAACCTACCACCAGTACCAAAAGAGCAGAAACCTCTGCACCGGAAGAGAGCTGGAAGCTCCCCGACCCAACCTGCAGAGGTCCACACCAACAAAATATGGCCTATGGAAAACAATCTTGAACCGAAGGGGCTACCACAAACTGAGGAGAAGATGATAAGAGGGCACCCTGATCAAGGACCAGGACGACTCAGGTGACGCATGAGCAGGCCGGAGGTGAAACAAAACACGAGAAAGCGTACGGAACAGGGCGGATGTGAAGTCCACCTCGAACATAAGCCGGCGCTCCGCCAGTGCAGCACGATACGAGGCAACAGTAAGAAGCATCAAATAACAGTCCTGAAAACCCAAGAAAGGACAAGACAACCTACAAAGAGCAAGAAAATAGCTAATAGAAACACCAGGAACGTCATACTGTCGCCAAGACGAAGTTCGCAAGTGGGACACCCATCAACGAAGCCACCTGAGCACCATAGAGATGGTTATACACCCACGACAAAATACCAGATGCAAAGAGCCGAGGAGATCCAGTCACATACAGGACCGGTCCAACCTGCCGAAACACGTGGAGCCGCGGGAAAATGCCCCAGGTTCGGACACTTATCAAGCAGCGTCTGAAAGTAAAGCTGGACTGGCCACCAAGGAACCACGAGGACTACTCTCCTTGGGAATGGCTTCTTACCGAGCCAGAACCCGAAGCAACAGCTGGACAGGGAGAAGAGGAACAGGTACCCCCACCGCAACCAGTCCTGCCGAAAGGCATCCACCATGAATGCCTCGCAGGTGGGTAAGGGCGCCACATAGAATGGGAGACGCCGACTTTTGTTAGACCAAAGCTGGAATATGCAGCGGTTGTATGGTGCCCATATCTTAAGCACATCAACAAACTGCAAAAGGTTCAACGACATGCCAGTAAGTGGCTCCCAGAACTGAAGGACAAGAGCTACAAGGAGAGGTTAGAGGCATTAAATATGGAAAAACTAGAAGATAGAAGAAAAAGAGGCGATATGATCACTACATAAAAAATAGTAACAAGAATCGATAAAATTGAAAGGGAAGATTTTCCGAGAAACGGAACTTCAAGAACAAGAGGTCATAGATTTAAACTCAGAAAACAAAGCTGACAGAGAAATATAAGAAAATTCGCTTTTGTAAACAGAGTGGTAGACGGTTGGAACAAGTTAGGTGAGAAGGTGGTGGAGACCAAAATCGTCAGTAATTTCAAAGTGTTATATGACAAAGAGTGCTGGGGAGACGGGACACCACGAGCATAGCTCTCATCCTGTAACTATAATTAGGTAATTACACTCAGGTAATTACAATCACAACAGCACAAGCAAGGTACTCAAAATCTCACCAGTGGATAGTTGGTTCCCATCTCGTCAAGCTGCAAGAGGTCGATCAGCTTCTCGTAAATGCCAGGGTTTCGAAACTCCTTGTTATTCTGAATCATGGCATTATAGTCCTTGTTTCCCCGGCGTACCTCATTTAGGCATCTGATGACCTTATCCTAGTTGATAAAAACGGGTAAAATATTATACAAACTTAGCAACAGACAGTTTATATCAAGGGTCAACAAATATTTTGTTCCCATCAGGACTTCCTCAGCCTGCCAAAAGATACAAATTAAAATTATTTTGTAATACTGTACTTGCACAAGTATACATAATATAATAAAAGTATTATCTTTTATTTATAAAGCTTACATTAGAACATGTTACAGTGGTTGAACAAAGCCACAAAGGCCGTGACGAGGGTTCGAATCGACGTTCGAGAGGATCCCAAATGCTGCCTTAATCGACCGAGCTACGACATGGAAAAGAATTGCAAACGGAAAATCATCCTGATTTACCAACGGATCCAGCAGTCTCTCCGAGACACAAACCAGGGTTTTACGCAATTCCCCCCATGCACTCGCGCTATGTCAATAGGCCTCGAGCTATGTGTAATGAAGTAAGGGTGTAGAGGTAGAACAGCCAGCTCGAGTGCATGGGGAAATTGCGTTAAACCCTGGTGTGTGTCTCGGAGAGACTAAAGGATCCGTTGGTACATCAGGATGATTTCCCAGTTGCAATTCTTTTCCATGGCATAGCTCAGTCGATTAAGGCAGCGTCTGGGATCCTCTCAAACGTCGATTCGAACCCTCGTTACGGCCCTTGTGGACTTGTTCCTTTGATGCATCACGCTATTGTGATTTCTGTGTGTTACAGTAGTTAAAGAGACCCCAGTCAATTTTTACTCTAAAACAACATTTTCAGGTATATATTTCATCAAGTTTAGCCTTAAAAATAAATACTTTAAAACCCTAGCATTGAATATAATGAAATGCCTCTTTTTGGAGGAATCCTGGTGGTTCTGTGAAGCTAACTTTCTGAGACTGTTCCATACTAAACAGTCACATCTGTCGGGAAATTTCTGATTAACCTACTGGATGCTAGAGCCAGAACTTTCTCAAAACTCGTTACTAGCAATTACTGTACAGTATATACCATCAGCATGGCAGTCTAGTCCCACCCTTCACCCAGTTCCTCAGGTCTGTTCTGGAACTGATAAATAATCCAACAATGAATAGAGAGGGAGTGGTTGAATCAGGAGCTACCGGGGCTCCTTAAGAAAGAGATGCTTGCTTTACATTCAATGCAGGATTTTTGGAGGGAGCTCCCGAGTGGCTCCTTCAAGCTGACTAACACCACACAACAAAAATACAGCTTTGAATGTAATGAAATGCCATTTTCTGGGTGAGTCCCGGAGGCTCCCAGGCTGATATGGATATTCCTAACTTTGGTATCAATCGATGTGGGTGGAGTTCTAGGCCTACCGGGGTACCACGAGCCAGAACCTGGCCCCCTCAGAGGCGCACAAGGAGCAATGGCCTATAGAAATGCACATGTCATTTTGGAGCATTCTATATCTGCCATTGACCAGGACAAGCACCCAGAGAGATAAGCACCCCAAAAGAAACCCTATTCTGGTTAAAAGCGATGAAAATAGACAAACGAGAGGGCAGAACTCACCTATTGAAAATGAGCAAACAAGCATGACATCACACATGCTGCGCCGCATGTCTGCGCAGCTCCCCCCTCCCTGGGAGGGGGAAGGGGAAGCCCCAGACCCCTGCACCGGCAATCCACCCTGCAGTTCTGAGGCTGGATATCAAAATGCGCGAAAACCACTGACCGGAGGGAGGGAGGAAGGGTTGCCGGGGAGCCTTCTGGACTCGCCCAGAAAATGTCGTTTAATTACATTCAACGCTGGTTTTCTGGGGGGAAGCCCCATCGGCTCCCCGGAGCTACTTCACCAAAGACTAAAAATAAAGAAGGGGACTTACCCGGGAGGCGGTCAGTGCTCCACATCTCAACTCGAAGTTGAGACGGGCTGCAGCCGCCGACCCAAAGCGACACAGGCCCGACTAGGCCCAGGAACGTTAACGAGGTAGCATGCAGCCAGGACCCTGTTCGACTGCCAAAACCCCCATGACCGAATGTCAGCCTAGGACATGTTGCCAAAGATGGCAGCAAGAGCAGCAAACTTATGAACGTCATGGGCACGGGAATAGACCACAGGCTAGCTAGACTCAATAACCCTGCGGATGACCTGAGAGACCTGTACTCGCGAACAAGAAAAAAGGGAAACCGGATCATCCCATAGCGAGTCCCCGGACACACAAGCCATAGCGCGCAAATAATGGCAGAGGGCTGCAACCAGACACAACACATGATGCACCCCCGGCCTGACCAACCAAGCATCAACAACCCAAGGACCCCTCCAGAAAGCAGCAGTCTCATTCTTCCCCAGAAAAGAAGGAGACAGCTGCAGACAAAAATACCTATCTCCACGACCGAAGGAGCAAAAACCTCTGCACCGAAGGAGAGCATGAAGCTCTCCGACCCGACCCCCAGAGGCCAATGTCAACAGGAAAAGAGCCTTCGAAAAACAATCCTAAACCAAAAGAGCCACAACAAACCGAGGACAAGAGAGATAGGAGAGCACTCTATCCAAAGACCAGGATGACTCAGGTGGCGCATGAGCAGGCCGGAGGTGAAACAACGCACGAGACAGCTTGCGAAACGGTGCAGAAGTAACATCTATACCGAAAGCAAGCCGAAGTGGCCCCGCCAGCGCTGCATGATACAAGGCGACAGTATTCAGCATAACATGACGATTCTGAAATAACCATAAGAGAAAGGACAATACCACCCAAACCGAAAGCTAAGTACAACAACGAAGAGTAAAAAAAAAATGGAAGGACCGCCAGGAAACTTCGTACGGCCACCGAGACGAAGTCCGCAGGTTGGACACCATCAATGAAGCCACCTAATCATCATACAGATGGTGATAAACAGGAGTAAAAAATACCAAACGTGAAGTTCACTCTTCTCGAGGAGAAGAGCGAACCAGTCTCGTAACAGACCGAGCCGATCTTCTGAAAGAGGCGGAGCCACGGAAAAACCTTCGAGTTCAGACATCGGGCAAGTAGTACCTGAAACCAAGGCTGGGCCGGCCACCACGGGGCCAAGAGGACTGCCCGTCCTTCGTAAGTCTCCAAGCGAGTCGGGACCTTGAGCAACAGCTGAACCAGGAGGAAGAGGTACAGGAACCTTCACCTCGACTAGTCCTGCCGGAAGGTGTTGATCCCGACGGCCTTGCTGCCACTTATACTGGAAGACACCTCGACCACGCTGACGTGAAGAGGTCCATCTCTGGGCGCCTGAACGTCTGGCAGAGCCAACTGAACGAGTCGACATCGACCGTCCATTCCGTGGACAGGGGAGCGAACAAGACAAGGCCGTCCGCCAGGACATTGGACAGCCCCCGAATGTGAACCGCCAGGAGAGCCAAACTCCGAGAACTCAGCATACGAGTCACCCGAAACGACCAGCCCCAAACAGCCAAGGACCGCATCGAACTTCCTTGGTCAGGCAATGAACCACAGGGGAGCAGTGCGAATGGAGCCGGATCATCGATCCGCAGACTTCCCGAACCCTCCAAAGCGCAAACCACACCACTGCGAACTCCCGTTAAGGCACTGAATCCCCCAAAACCCGAAGAGGAAGCCAGTGACGCAGCAGCCGACGGAAGGCCCCCAGCAGTCGAACCCTGAGATCGTGAGAGAGAGGCGGAAAGGACGTCCCCTAAGGAACCAGAATAGCCGAAGAAGCCAAACCCAACCCAGCGAGGAGACCATCATCGCAAAGTTCAGGCTCCCGCACAGACCCTCAAGCAACTGCTGGGTGACCCAGGAGCCCCCCAGAAACAAGCACATGTGGGACCGCAGAGACAAGGAAGTGGTCCAAGAGTCCTATACAAGACCCAGCCAGGTCCAAACCTAGGACGGAACCAGACGGGACTTTCGCCAGTTCACCAGAAACCCGAACTCGGCTAGCATGTAAAGCACCAAACCCCTGGCGAGCAGAGACGCGGATTGACTGGAAGCCCAAACCAGCCAGTCGTCGAGGTAAGTCAACGCCCGAACACCTAACAGACACAGATGGGCCACCACAACCGGGGTAAGGCATGTGAACATGCGAGATGCCAGGTTCAACCTGAAAGGGAGACAATGACAGCGGTAACTCTGACGCCCAAAAACAAAACCGAGCCAGTCCCTGAACCCTGGATGAATCGGGACGTGCCAATACACGTCCTTGAGGTCCAGGGACACCATCCAAATGTCCGGCTCCAACAGAAGCCAGACCTGGGACAGAGTGGTCATCCGAAAGGAGGGGAAAAAAAAAAACAGCGTTGAATGAAATGAAACTCCATTTTCTGGGGGGAAGCCCCGTCGGCTCCTCGGAACTATCCAGGCCGATATGCTAATGTCAGACTTTGCCATCAGTCATGTGTACGAGGTTCTATGGGCCTACCCATAGGTTCTATTGCTCCTCATGCCTCAGAGAGGCATGAGGAGCAATGGCCTATAGAAACCCCCGTGTGGTTGGAAGCATTCTATGTCTGCCATCAACCGGGTCAGGCACCCAGAAAGGTAAGCATCCCAAAACAAACCCCTATTCTGGTGAAAATTGCTACAAAGAACCGAACAAGAGGATAGAACTCCCCAAACAGAAACGAGCAAACAAGCATGACGTCACACATCGTCGTGCAGCTGTCTGCGCAGCTCCCCCCTCCCCGGGAGGAGGAAGGGGTAGCCCGAGACCCCTACGCCGGCAATCCACACCCCAGTTCTGAGGCTGGATATCAAAACACGCGAGAAACCGCCGACCGGAGGGAGGGAGGGTTGGCAGAAAGCCTCCGGGTCTCACTCAGAAAATGCCGTTTCAATACATTCAACGCTGGTTTTCTGGGGGAAGCCCTGTCTGCTCCCCAGAGCTAAATAAGAAAAGATGAAAACCAGAGGGACTTACCCAGGAGGCGGTCGCTGCTCACTCCTCAACTGGAAGTCAGGACAACTGGCTGCAACCGCCGACCCAAAGCGACACAGGTTAGACTAGGCCCAGGAACGTTCACCAAGTAACGCACAGCCAGGACCTAATCGACCTCCTAAAACCTTGTACC